TATATTCACTCAATCTCGGTATGTTAACAAAATGGTCACTCATTCATGGACTGACCGCGGCAAGTGCAACTTAATCTCGCAGATCTATTGATCCATGCAGCTATTACTTAACCACGATTTCCTCTTCTCTATGACTAACGCTGTAGGCGATGAACCACCCTATTTGAGCCCTCGGCCCAATGTCGTTGGCCATCAAGCATGAATCGGGCATCCAGCGCTGTGAGTATCAAGTACTATGGAATTCACACAATACCTAATGTAATATATTTAATGTATAAATTTTGATACAGGGCCCCTCTAAGGCACGCTACTCCACTGGATTCCAACCAACCTTATTCCAATTAACCTTAAACATTTTTTCTAATTATAGAATCCCGAGGAAATCTGTTTGACAAACGGCAAAATATAATATAAACATTTTAGAACGCAAACCAAGGATTTATTTTCTTGTTATATGGGCATGTCTATCAATTCAATATTAACATTCAAGATAAATATCAACATTAATTAAGTCAATCCCTGGCGTACATGTAAAATATTTTGTATAAAAATGTATTTACCAAATTCATGCATATTATCAACAACCTGACTTTTTTTCTTTGCAAAATATCAAATTTAATAAAATAATTCAAATCATTCTATATTTTAAACAGTTTAAAGTATACATTTTGACTAAAAATAAACGCGTCATAACGGGACGTCTTAAGAATTTACTTGTGACATGTGCAATTATCAGGATTATTTCTATTATTAACACCACAGTCACTCACAAAACAACCATTATAACATTCTAAAAAATTACAAAATATCTAGTAGCTATTTCTTGCGTGCCAACTTGTGCCGACCTGTCATTCAAAATCGGTTACAGAGTCATGAGATTTGGTATCCTTTTCTATCATGCATTTTTCCATAAGGAATTTTCTTCTCCCTTGCACACTATGTTGGTCTATACGCCAGTATATTCTAAGTCTATGTTTTCACAATCCCTCAAAATCTCTCAAAAATTTTGCAATGTGACGCATAATAATATTGTGATTTGTGACATATTTTGTCAAATACGTCAGACTAGGCCATAGTCTTAGTATCTTACCTCTATCTACGGACTAGGCTGATGGGCATAGATCTCTTTGCGTCATAGATATAAGAAAAATAGTATAGTATATAATATATTTTTCTTATATCTATTTCCGCCTCCACACGCTTGGTGTTTGCCACATACACCATACACGAACAAACACCGACCACATTCACCCAACATGAACACGGCATCCACACGCTCGGCGAACGTGCTAGTACCTATATATTCCGGATAGGCAAACATGACGGATGACGAGCTTGGGGCAGCGATTACTTTCGTGTTAACCTAATTTTATTTAAAAATAAGGCAATATGAATTGCTCTCAAGGTTATTGTATTGAAGATATTACACACCATAGAATCTCAAATTAATTTTCAATTATCACTGCTATAAATTGTATTCAGGTTCAAATAAGTTTGGTTTGAACGCTTTTATTCGTATTGCATAACTGATTATTATGTAACACGTGACTCTAAATTAATCTAAAAACAAACTTTTATGAAATTAATGCTTGACTGGGGAATCGAACCCCGAACTTTCGTTTGACATTATATTGAATCTATTTACTCTTAACATAGATTATCTCTTTATTCGAAGCGCCTTATACAATTTAATAGCAATATTTTCAAAACGCACAATTGTTTATTTTTATGTAATGAAAATGATATACTATTTTTTAAGCGCTTCGCCAAAACTAATAGTAGTAATGCATATGAGCCGTTTTCTTCATAATTTTTTTATTTTTAACAGCTTACAATAACATTACAAAATTATTCATGCAACTAGTCTTAGGTCTTTTCTATGAAAATGTAACGACATTTTTACTAATCCAAGTGTATTTTATATAAGTTGGTCAACTATTACTTGTTAACTTCTTGATTCTACGTAGCTGTGGTAGTTTTCCTTTTAACTGCATTATATAAACTACTATTGGGTATACTTTTCACATGTCGATCTGTTAAGTTGGTTGGGGGGAGGGGGGAGGGGGGGGCACACATGACTCTAATGAAAAATAGCACTTTAAAGCGAAATATTTCACAAACGGACCCCTGAATCAAAAAAATTGTTGTTGAACACCCCCAATGTTTTTGAAAGACCTATCCAACGATACCCCACATGATAGAATATACACGTAAAAAAATCATCCTCCATTTACTTGTATGGGAAGTACCCAAAATAAAAATGTTTTTTAAGATTTTATTTACAGTTTTCTAGGCATGCTTAATATTTATAACTGTGCCAAATTACAGATTTGTAGCACCTAGGGTCTGAGCAAAACCGCGGACGGACGGACGGACGGACATGGCGAAACTACAAGGGTTCCTTGTTGTGTAACTACGAAAGTCTAAAAACGATTAAATCAGGATATACTAAACTTATCGATGGATATACTAATCTTATATAATTTTTTCGGATTTTATTTTGGGAATTGATGATGATCCTGCTTTCACACGGGGCTCCTTATAAAAAGAGGTGAAATATTTGTTACCCAATAGAAAATTAATTAGGAGTCAATCACATTATTATTGGGAGGTCTCTATAAAACTTAATTAGATCTACTAACTTTTATAAGTAGTATTGGTAGGAAACTCAACTTCTGAAATCATATTTACCTCTGAGACAAGTAACATTTGCGCAGAGTATAATAATAATAATAGCCACTAGTAACTCCTTCCGCCGCCCGCAAGCCGCAAGCTCTCACGTACTACTGACTGATTGCCAAATGTGTGGATACATCGCAAACACGTTTGTCGAACACCCTTTGATCGGTGCACAAAAACCGACGCCGATCACTGGCAATCACATACAAACAAACAAACAAACAGGCAAACAACCATCCACACGTTGTTTGGTGTATGCTGTTCGCCGTTGTTTGCCAAGCGTGTGGATGAGGCATATGCTTTGCGTACAAATAAATAAACAATATACGTAGGTAGTATCTAAGTAGTCTGTGTAAACCACTGACTTAGAAATATATGGACTGGGCATACCAAAAGAATTAGCGTGAGTACCTAAACAAACCTGGCGCGTAAAATGGCCGCCTTTTATAGGGTTGTAACTCAGCAATATTGGCAGCTGATATCGATATTTTTACTAATACGAGTTTCTCCTTATTTCATATAATTATAGAAATTAATCCATAGCCTAATTGCGTAACACACCTATCATGGCAAACCATACCAATTTGACAGTTTAACAACATCCATTGCGAGGATTTTGTTGTCGAGCAAACGAATTTTTCAATCACATGAAGCAATGAATATTGTTGGGTTCTTAAATTAGTTTTGGATTGCTATCCCTTAAATTTCGCTTGAGCTGCTTCACGAGGCTTCACCGCATATGTACACTTACGCAATGCACACTCTGCTACAGATTTTTTGTGTTAGGTACACAGTCAAATAATGAGTTAAGTATGCAGGCAGCTAACATACAACTTGTTTTAAACAATGTTCTGAGTGTGCTAAATGCTTACTCAAGTTTTGAAGTTATACTTCTTTTGGCGCGTTTGAGAAAAATGATGAGAGTGAATTTTTTACAACTTCAATTGGTAATTGTCTGTCAATTGTTAAGTTTTCCTGAGAACTGATAACTATATTCGAGGTAGTTATTCAATTATATATGAATATATAAAACGTGTTTTATTTTAGTTATTTTTGTTTTGTTACGCTAAAGAAGTATAACTTCTTACATGCGTACATAAGTACACACCCACGTTTTGTTTTATATCAATGTGAACAAAGTTAAAAAGTTATAACGCATTGACAGAGTAGTAGGAAAAGGAATATTTTTGCTTGTATACCAAATACATTTGTTTACTGTACAATAATATTTTACAGTAAACAAATGTATGAAGATGGGATGGAGATCCTAGATTCCATATTGTAATCCCATATTATATTTTTTTAATATAAAATAATAATGATTAGTTGAGTAAAAATTAAATAAAAGTGTTTTTAAAATCAACATTTATTATTAATTGGTATATAGGTTATAGGTACGTTCTACACATAATTGATCACAAATGGTAAGTTATATAAGCATGTTCGGTCCTGCCGGATATCATTTTTTTTATTCATATTTTAAATGAAAATTATTATTATTTTCGCAGGTACGTTAATTTTGTTCATTTAAAATTAGAAAATCTGGCATGATCATGAAACGGTGGATGAAATATGATATCCAAGATTTATAAACTATTATTAATATTATATATTCATTTCTGAACAAAATTAATTTATTAAAATAATTTCTATCGACACCATGGATAAGAGTGTACGACACTATTTCACTGCTTTTTTGACAGTTTGACAGCAGATCTACCTCAAAACTTGGCGCTTAACATGGCGGCGCAGTCACGCAAGGATGAGCTAATGACGTCACACGAAAGTATCACCAAAATAAGCACTTAACAAACTTTAGATATCTCTCTTTTCTATTGCAGCTACTGCTTGCTGCTACTGCTGCTTTGTTAAAAAGAGATAAAACTATTTTTGACAAGTGTGTGTCGATATTATAGATGTTTGCATAACTATTATTTCTATAGTGAAATATGCCCTCTCCATAGGTATATATCTCTATGGTGTAAACAATCAAGCAACTTCAATTCAATGTCAAATGTCAATGTCTGTCAATCTAAATCTTTGGATACTGTAAGGCTGTATGGCTTAGTTCTTTTGCCTGCTCTCTCGAGCGAATAATAAAAACAACAACAACTTTGGATAGTGAAATGTCGTTGATGAAAATTATAAACAAATTCTTGCAAAATGCAAATTCTTTTAAGATATTACTTTAATTTTACCCTACTGTACGATTAAAAAATGAAATACGTATAACATATCGAAACAATTAATAATATTCGCATTCTCATTGAAATTGTCCTGTAAATAAAAAGAAAAGATAAAAAGCAATCGATAGAATAATCATGGGTCGAACTAAACGTAAAAGAAAGTCAAAAAAGCAACCAGAGTATTGTCCGTGTAATAATAATGAAGAATTAATTTTACTGAACTCTTGGTTAATCAAACATGGTGTTCGACGTAATAAAAATTTGGGATTAGCAGTCTTTAAAAACACGGGACGCGGAGTGCTCACTAAAAAGAAGATTTGTGCCGGAGATGAACTTGTTAACCTTCCTTTAAATTTAACTATAAATGTAACAACTTTGTTACTAGATACACTATTTTGTAGTATATTTATAGAGAACAAAAAGCAATGTCTAATACAGTATAAGCAGGCAGTATCATTCCAGTCATTAATGGCATTTTACTTAGTATACCTAAAGATGCAAGGTACAAAGTCAAAGTGGTATGTTTATTTAGAAAGCTTGCCAAAATATTACACAGTTCCTTATTTTTTACCAGATGAATTACATTGTTATATTGATGCAGAAATAATGTCTGTAGTATCAAAGCAAAAGGATATTATAAAGAATTCATTTAATATTTTTGATGAAATTTTGAAAATGAACATAAGCAATAGTTCCTTACTAGTCAATTTTAAAGAGTATTTTAATAAGTCTGTATATGAATGGGCCTATTTTACAGTTAATACAAGATGTGTATTTATGGACTTAACTAAAGTAATCGATTTTCAAGATGTACAAAGTTCAATTATAGCATTGATTAGTGATAATACAAAAATATCTCTTTGTCCCTATTTGGATATGATAAATCACAGTCCTTTTGCTAAAAATGAAACTAAGTTAATAGTAAGTAAGAATATCACATATGTACCAGTAAGTGAATTACAAGAGAAAACTTTTAGCAATGTACAGTTCTCCATTTTTACAAAAAATGATTTTAAACCACATTCACAGGTTTTTATTTGCTATGGAGATAGCCATAACTTAAAATTGATCACTGAGTATGGTTTCTACTTACCTAGTAATGAAATGGATTGTGTGAATTTTAATTTTGAACATGTTAAAACATACTTAAAGTCTAATGCAATTCAATTTTCACAGGATCAGTTATCATTTATACATAACCATAATTTAAATAAGGATCTATATATTGATTTAAGAGGCCTAAGTTTCAATTTTTATGGATTATTAATGGTTGCTAAGTATTATTATAAAGAAAATGCTGATGTTAGTAGGCTAATTTATTCCGCAGCTATCTGTTCTGATGATAGACTACTTATTGATTTAATAATTCCTATGGTAAAAGAAAAGCTGGTTAACTTAAAACTTTCTGTCAATAAATTAAAGACTTTATGTGAAGATTGCATTATTTTGAGCAACTGTGTAGAGTTGATGTGTCAATATGTTACTATATTAGAGAAGTTTATTAAATGTTGAATTAGTATAAATTGTGTAAATTTGTCACCCTTATCAAAATTAAAACTTCCTATAAATTAGGTGGAGGATTGCATGTTATTGTTGTGCTTGTGCCTTAAATTTTGGCATTATTCCATAGTAAAATAATTCAATTACTTTAAAACACAATGTGTTTTGAAGATAACACAAATATCAACGTTGTGTTATAAGTGTCAAGAATGTGGGCCAATTTTTCCTGCCGATAAAAAGGCTTCAGTCTAATGGAGGTACCCTACAAAAGAACTAAAGTTTTGCTCACAGAGTACGTTTTGCTGAAACCAGTTAGTCATGCTCCACAATGTAACCCCCCCCCCCCCCTTCTACCTTAATTTAAAAAGGCCGAAATAGAAAAGAAAATGTTAAATATGTTTATTTAGGTTCTAAGGGGCCATTCATTAATTACGTAAGGATGATTTTGGATTTTGACCCCCCCCCCCCCCCCACACGTAAAGGTACATAAGATTTCTGGAACTGCCCTCCCTCTTCTTACATAAGATTTATATCTAGAGATGCGCCGAATAGTGATTTTGCCGAATAACCGAATACTATTCGGCTTACCAGTACCGAACCGGATATTCGGCCGAATTATTCGGTTTGCGATTTCATTGTTTTGCCGCGGAAACAGGTTCTTAAATGTCCGCTGCGTGTCGCTACTCGCTAGCTAAACGACGAGCGAGCCGTACCTCACCACACCGCTCGCTACCCGTGCGCACCGCGTTCTGGCATTTTGCTTTGAAACATTGCATGATTATCTTATAATTAATAACAAATGTGATTATTATAATAAAAATATTGACTATATTGTGTTTGCAACATGAACGGTCGTAAAAGATCACATGCATGGGACTTTTTTAACGAAATAGAAGATGACAAAACAAAAGTGAAGTGCACTTCGACGAGTGGTATGACAAATCATTTGAAGCTGAAGCATTAAGAAACACTGCCAGCAACCACGTCTACTTCTGTAAGTGCTTCTGATCATAGCTCAGACACTTTGCCAATAACATCGAGTGTAAAATCACAACAATCTATAGAGCAGGCGTTTGTTACAAATTGGGACATAACAGACCCTAGATCAAAGGAAATTCATAACGCCATCGCTGAAATGATTGCCAGTGACAATCAGCCAATTTCGATTCTGGAAAATAAAGGATTTAACAGGTTATTGCATTTATTGAAGCCTAAATATAAGTTGCCTGGAAGGAAGTATATGAGCGAAGTAGTGATTCCGGCGATTTATGAAAGAGTGAAAAAATTGATCAAGGATGAAATCTTCAAAGCCAAGGCTGTTTCGATTACATCTGATATGTGGACTTGCTTGAACAATATGCTTAGCTTTCTGAGCTTCACTGCACACTGGCTTGATGAGGACTTTGTTTTACAGCATAGAGTTCTGCAAATGAAACATTTTACTGAGTCTCACTCAGGTTACCATATTCGTTCTGTTTTAGAAGAGTTATCTGCAACTTGGGACATAACTTCGCTTATCCACGTGATTATGAGATATAATGGTCCCAATATAGTGAAAGCCATTAATGAAAGTATGTTTGTAGGCAAGGGGTGTTTTATACATACGTTGCAATTGGCGATTAAAGCTTCATTACATGTTGAAAACGTAAATTATGCTTTGAACTCTGCTAGAAGAATAGTGACACACTTCAACCACTCAAGCACGGCGCAAGAAAAGCTGAAAAATATCCAGAAAGAACTGAATCTTGCTGAGCATCAGCTTGTACAGGACGTAACAACGAGGTGGAACAGCACGTATTATATGTTGGAAAGAATCGTTGAACAAAAACGTGCGATTTCACTTTACATTTCGGACAATTCTGGCACAGTAAATATTTGAAACTGTACTGAAAGGCAGTGGCTGATTCTCAAAGAATGTGTAATTTTATTAAAACCGTTTGAAGAAATCACCAAAATTACCAGCTCTACATTTTCGTCAATTTTTGAAGTGATTCCCCACATCAACACTGACAAAATTTTGTAACAAAGCCCGAAATTTCACAAAAATTTCCCAATGTACTAGCAATGGTACAGAAGCTACAAGAAGAACTTCAGAGTCGTTTTCGAAATTTGGAAGACAAATACTATTGCTTGTCTACATTGTTGGACCCCAGATTTAGAATGAGATTTTTTGCTCCCGAAAAATGCGAACTAGTAACGAAAAACGTTTTTCTAGAAGCCATTCAAAGAAGCGACACTGATGCTGAAAGTTCAACCGAAGATGAAATTGAAACAATCAGAGGAAGACCTCTACAAGATGTTACAAATTTTTTAGAGGAATCACATGCAGCATTTTGGAACTGTTATGATGAACTTGCCTCGGCAAACCCTGTCATTTATGAAGATCCTAAAAGCCCAATTGCCGTGGAATTGGACAGTTATGTAGCTGAAAGTCTTCTACATAGAAACCAGAGCCCTTTTGATTGATGGGCAAAGCATAAGTTTAAGTACGCACAGTTAGCTAATTTAGCCAGAGTATTTCTAAGTGCTCCTGGTAGCAATGTCTACAGCGAAAGATTATTTTCAGAAGCAGGAAACCTTTACGAGGAGAAACGCAACAGACTATTGCCATAGAGGGCTGAGAGCTTGGTGTTTCTGCACCATAACTTACCCTTGATAAATTACAAATACTAAAACATATTAATTTTTCTTTTGATTATGTTTTTTTTATATATGATCTCACATAAGATTATTTCCTTGACAATTAGCCACATAAGCGTGTTCATTAACATGATTGATTTGAGGTTTAATTGCTTTATTTTATTACCATCTCCAAGACATTCTTCATACACTGCAAAAGTAGGGATAAATCTAGCATTTTTGCTTTAACATAAATCTTACTACAGAAGTTATGTGTTCTTGTTCTATACTGTGTAGTTTGAGTACAATAAATAGATAAGAAAATTGAAATATTTGAACCGAATATAATTTAGTTTACAAAATAAGAATTTAGTTTGACCGGCGGTCGATATAGAGACAGGTGTTAAAGGTGTAAAAAAAATGTGATAGCAATAAGTCTGCCGCCTCGACATCTTGAAAATTCAATAAAAGTTACCGAAAAATAACAGTGGTACCTATGGGGGTCCCAAGGTCATGGCAGATAGGTTGACAAGTACAATTTTTTCTTTATAATTTACGTTATTTCAATGAAGCTGCAATTTATACAACATGTAACAAAAACCCTGTGGTTCCCGTTAAGTACGTTATCAGGATCGGTATTCAAACCTATAGAAATAAGTTTTTTTTTTAAAACTCGACCATATTATTTTTAATTTCATGTGGTTTTATTACTCCTTACTGACACTAGCCGATGCTAAAGCTAAGTTAAGCGGGGTCTTTGACAATCCTCTTACTCCCCAGACAATGCAGAGGTAATTAAACCACATACAATTTGAATACAATTATTTTTTTAAATAAAATAAAAAAATTGTTCTAGTTTTTAAAACAAAAGTTATTTATATACGTTCGAATAATGATCCTGATAACGTACGTAACGGAAACCACAGGGTTTTTGTTACATATTGTATATGTTGTTGGTAATATTATTTGATATATATATTGCATGGCAGACATATATTGAGGTTCTAACACTCAGGCAAATAATGAACTTCAGTGGCACTCGTTCTAATTCAGACTAAATTAAATTAAAATTTCTATTACATTAATAAAAATACTTCAATTAAAATAATTCAATTGTTCTTTAGTATTAGTCATCATCATCATCATCATTATTACAACCCTTCACAAGTCTACTGCTGAACATAGGTCTTAAACTATTAGATTAGATTAATAGGAAGAATTTAGTGTAAGTATTATTTATTAGGTACATTTGAAATGGATAAAATTGAACACATTTAATAAACATATGGGTATAACAGGTCCTACTGTTTTTTTGAATCAAAGTTTTACCCCCCCCCCCCCCAAGATAAGGGCATGTAGAGGTTTTTAAAACCCTCCCCCTCCGGACCCTTACGTAATTTTACGTAAGTAAAACGTAAAGGCTTATTACATTACACGATTTCTCGGGCCCTGCCCGCAGGGACAGGGTAGTGTAATAAGAAACAGGGATTACGTTACACGATTTATCGGGCCCTGTCCATCGTGTGCCCTGCCTACCAGACAGGGCGCTGCTTATTACACTACGCTAGAAATCGCTTCCTGCCTCAGTTGTTACTCGAACGTGGAAATGATTGCACGTCTAGCATTATGGCGCAGACTTTATCTAAACGTCAAAAAATTGCTTTATTGATTTTTTTACGTGGTAGAGCCATGCTACAGCTATATTAGTAGTATAATTGTAGCACGAATGGGTCGGCTCGACTGGGGAAGGACCACGCTCTCACAGAATACCAGCGTAAAATAGCAGCTTAACACTGCTGTGTTTCGTATGGTGAGCGTAGAGAACCGGAGACCCTTTTACTGGAAAAGAGGTTCCATCTCAGTCCTCACGGGTGACAACGCATCTGCATTTTGATTCGCATACGAGGATAAATGTAGGTGTCTATGGGCCACAGCAACCACTTACCATCGGGTGAAAAAGAAAGAAAAAATACTTTAATGATTTCTTATATTTACGCGAACACTACACATTGAATAAAACGACTTGTACGGATTCTATCGCGTTTAATTTTTTTTTTATTAATTCCCGACGTTTCGGATGCTTTACAGCAACAAGTCCCCCGTGACCATGAGTGGTAAAGCACGCGAGAATTAATAAAAAAAAATATTAAACGCGATAGAATCCGTAAAAGAAGTTTTATTCAAAAGAATACTTTTTTAAGAGAGATTGGTTGTCACTTTACGATTTTGGCCACTGGAAACTCCTATCAAGATTTGATAAGGCATTTCTTTGTAGATGTCGAAGACATTGAGAAGGATCTTTTTCTTTAGCGCATGACATAAATACGAGTAATGATTTAGAGAGTAGATCGACATAGAACTTTAAATAAACAAACGTGTAGACTCCGCGCATG